AAGAGGCTCTGAATGACAACCACATTACACACCTTCTACCTTTGACTCAGGCATCCACAGTATGTATAATGTTCAGGAGACTATTAAAAAGAGATAGCTGTGGGGCACTTGGGTGGCTCAGCTGGTTAAGCATTGGACTTTTGATTTGGTCAAGATCTCAAGATTCGTGAGTTCGGGCCCTGCCTGTGTCAGGCTCTGTACTGACAGTGTGAAGCCTGCTTGGGATTCTGCCTCTTCCTCTCTCTGTCCCTCCCCAACTTGTAAATAAACTGAAAAAAAAAAAATTAAAAAAAAAGTAAAAGAGACAGCCCTTATTCTCCAGGAGTACATAAAACATAAAACAATGGTAAGAGAAATTTTGTAAACAATCAAGATAAATGCTGATTTATATAAGACACAGTATATTCAGTAAAACTTTTTCTGCTTGGAAAGCAGTTGTTTGGTTTCATTTTTCAGTGCTTTAGAAGCCAAGAAATAGTTTGTAACTAGAAAGCATGCACATGACAGTTTGTCTCTATTGTTGATACTCTATATATTGAAACAGATCTATAAAGAGAATATCAAAAAGTAAAAATAAGGTAGAACTTTTAGTTGAATATTGCAGAAGGATTAAATCACTTTAAAACTAATCTTCATGCCCAAATTGTATTCAAAGTGATAGGTGTTTTAAATTAATCTATGAATTATGTGAACTATAAAAGCTGTGGTTATTTATAAAATATACATAGAACTGTACACCAGAAAATGTCATCTTAAAAGATCAGCTAAAATCACCAAACTGTCATCCCATTCCTCTTTAAACTGGCTCTCAGGAAGGTTCTGAAGATTTAGGTATGGGCCCTTTATGTAAGTGATTATTACAGGTTAACTTGTAGTCCTTCTGAATTATCTGCTCAATAGAAAAACAGTCTAACACAGGGATTCCCAATGGGAGAGGGGGAAATGGGGGGTTTAGACTCACTTGAACTTTTCCAATATAGATATGACTGCCTAATTCCTAGGAAGTATTAGATTATTAGAAGTTGGAACAGTCATGGTGGTCAGCAGTCTCCTGGACATGTATTTATCAAAAAAGTTCTCTAGCTAAATATGGTACCTCTTCCTAACCCTTCCCTGCTAGTTTTGAGAGAATTTAGCCAACAGGCCCCTCCCTAGTTAATCTCAACCACCCAGAGGAAAGCACTATCCTGAGACTTTTTCCACCATAGATAGTTTTATCTATTTGAGAATTTCATGTGAATGAACCCCATACAGTATATGAGCTTTTGTGTAAGGCTTCCTTCACTCAGCTGAATGCTCCCGAGATTTATCCAGGTGGTACCAGTAATTCTGTCCTCTTTAATGCTGAATAGCATTTGGTGTTATGAACATATCACAGTTTGCTTATTCTACTGATGAATACCCGGGCTGTTTCCAGCTTTTGGCTATTTCGTTTTCAGCTCTCTTGGTTAGTTTTTTTTTTTTTTAAAGTAAGAGGTTTTCTTTTCTATG